TACTTACTACTTGTACTACTAATACTACTTCACAGTTTTTCACTTATCATGGGGCTTCAGGGTATGGATTCCCTGCGATAAATGAGAGACTACCTTATTTTGCATGGTCTTTGTCAGTTTGGCCTGCTACCAAATGCAGATGCCAAAAGGGGGGCTGAAAATGATGTAACATTATATAATATGTATTTAAGAAACAGCGCCTTTTATATCGTTGAGTTGTTTTTATGGAATGGCTGATGTCCAATATTTATCTTTATTGTTAATATCGGTCGATACCGATACCATGCCGATAATATCGTGCATCCCTACAAAAAATACACCTTTCACTTCATTATTCTTGCTGATTGTCTCGTCTGTTGGTGCTCCATCAAAATGTGTGGGTTTTAATTTTTGCAGGAGCCTTCTGCAAAGAGGCAGCGGCGAACTCTGGAGGCAGTGAACCATGTGGGCGTTGCCATCGTGTCCAGCGCCATCACCACAGTGATCTCCACTGTCCCTCTCTTCTTCTGTGTCATTGTGCCTTTCGCCAAGTTCGGTCAGATCGTGGCCATCAACACAGCTGTCTCCATCTTGTTCACCCTGTCCGTGACCTCGGCCCTCCTGGCCTGCATGGCCCCTCCTCGCTTTGACAGACACCCCGGCGCTGTGCTGAAGGCCAGCCTGGCTGTGATGGCAGCTGCAGCCATGGGAGGGGCTCTGTGTTGGGTGGGGCGACAGCTGGGTCTGCTGGCCTGGCGATCAGTCAGCACGTGAACCCTTCTGTCCATCCAGTGATGTCGGACACAATATTTGTGTTTTTTTCTTAGTTCTAAGGAAGAATATCAGATCAGGAAGTGATCTTTATAGCACAAAGATGACCAAATCATCTCAATAAATAAAAACTGTCCTTTTCAGAGTACATTTTTTTCACTTTTACCTACCAGTGGTTTCAGAGTGAGGCGCCAATCCTCACCTGCTGGATTTTTTTTACTGTATTGTGTAACTGTGACACAGTGTTCTGTTCTGTTTTGCTGTTCGTCTTGATTGAAAATCACACTTTTACTGAGTGGTGAAGAGCTGCAGACTGGCAGGTTCTGACAGGATGTGGTACTCTGATGTTTATAATGACAGGTTCTCACGTTTTCATGGTGATCTTGTGAAACATGTTCGTTTAACGCTTTGATTGTCTTGATCGTGCTCTGAATGTGATTTTCTGGCCTTCGCAGGTGCTAATGTGACCTGGCTGAACTGAAAGTGTCTTAAACAGAATGTACACTGTTTAGTTACATGTAAAACCTGATGTAAATGTCTCAGTACGTCTCACTCTGAACTAAACCTTTTGGATACTGCCAGCACAAGTACTTCTAAACCCTGTGAACACCAGTATTTTGCACAAGTTAGACCTTCTTTTAGCTGCTCAGATCTTTAGCAGCTATGAGGTCTGTTTCTTACAGTCACTGTAAATTGAAGGAATCCTATTGCCACCTCCTCAGGTGTACCCTGTGCTACATTTAAAAGCCCTCACTGTAACCCTCTCGTTCTCTCACGCTGTTTAAAGCACCACTCCAACAGCCATCAGAGGAGCTGCGCTCCAGAGATGAGAGCCATTTGTCAAACCACATAACACTATAATGGTTAGGAAGCGGGGGACCAACTCCATTACAGCGAGAGTGGTGAATTTCTGTTTTGTGTGCGTGTTACTTGTAAATGTCAAATAAAGCAGGTGAAGGAAGCCATTAGTCCTCTTTTTGTAAAAGCTATGCCCTTGTCTTTGTTAGATAACGTAGGAGGATGAAGAGCTGTCACTGTTTGCTTACAAGCACATATTTACTGTAAGAATTAGTGTCAAATCTCTGGGTGGTGGTTATTCGTTATCTATATGAAACGGCTCGGCCCGAAACACACACTACAGGGCACCTTTGTTTTATGTTGCTTATTAAAAGGTTGTTCCAGTCATAAAGTGCTTGTTTTTTATAAACCATGAGCAAATGAAAGGTGTTGCAGCAGAACAAAGCGAATGTCAGTGTCCTTTTCTATCACTGATATTTGTATTCAGATTAAGGAAGTGGATTTAATTTAAAAAAGCCAGCATCTGAACATAAAACATTCCTTCATCCTTCCAAGACCCATTTACTCAAACCATCCCGCCCAGTTAGCCACCTTGATACATTCAGCAGGATATCTACAAGGTGGAGGCACCAATTCCAGTTTTTAAAGTTTGTTGCACAACACTGCTTCACTCTTTATGCTTTTATGAAAATGTGCAGTAATGTGAACTTCCAGTGAATAATTATTGAATGAAAGAGGTCATTTGTAGAGGAATAAATACACTGATAAAGAACAAGTTCTCCTATTGCAGCAAGGACAAACGACTTATAAATGGTGAATCCAACATGATATAAGAGTTATTAAAAGGGCTTGTTTAGATCTTGTAAAGTGGGACTCTGTGTAAGAGAGCAATATCTTACCTGTTGTAGATAGCTCTTAGAACAACCTCAGTTTGGAGAAATAGATATAATTATACCCTTGTTGACAAGCTATTGGCTAGTCTGAGCGAGGTCCAGACTAAAGTGAATTGCTGACAACTACTGACTATTATTTTATAGAGAATTTTATAAACATTTTTAAAATCTTTATACCTGTCATGTTTGCACAACATGATTTTTCCAGCTGAAAAGCTATATTTCCCAGCTGCACTGAAGGTGCTAAAGCCAGCTGCTGCTTACGGTTTTTGTTTTTGTAAATAGACATAAAACTGTTTGTATTTAATCATCCTTCCATCCATTATCTTTTACCAGCTTCTTCCATTTTGGGTCACGGGGGTTGCTGGAGCCCATGTCCAGCAATCACTGTGCGAGGGACGGGGTACACCCTGGACAGGTCTCCAGTCCATCACATGGACACACAGAGACAAACGAGACAAACAACCATTCACTCTCTCACTCACACCTAGAGACAATTTAGAGTTACCAATCAGCCTAAGATGCATGTTTTTGGTCTGTGGGAGGAAACTGGAGTACCTGGAGAAAACCCACGCATGCACGGAGAGAACATGCAAACTCCACCCAGAAAGGCCCCATGACCAGGATTTGAACCAGGGACCTGCTCGCTGAGAGGCAGCAGCTCTACCAGTTGTGCCACCATGCTGCCTTTATGTACATTGCCTTGTGAAAGTATTCGCCCCCCTTGAACTTTTCAACCTTTTGCCACATTTCAGGCTTCTAACATAAAGATATAACATTTTTATTTTTTGTGAAGAATCAAAAACAAGTGGGACACAATCGTGAAGTGGAATGAAATTTATTGAATGTGTCAATTTTTTTTAACAAATAAAAAACTGAAAAGTGGGGCGTGCAATATTATTCGGCCCCCTTGCGTTGTAGCGCCGCCTTTTGCTGCAGTTCCAGCTGCAAGTCTCTTGGGGTTTGTCTCTATCAGTTTTGAACATGGAGACACTGAAATTCTGCCCATTCTTCTTTGTAAAACAGCTCGAGCTCAGTGAGGTTGGATGGAGAGAGTTTGTGAACAGCAGTCTTCAGCTCTTTCCACAGATTCTCGATTGGATTCAGGTCTGGACTTTGACTTGGCCATTCCAACACCTGGATACGTTTATTTGTGAACCATTCCATTGTAGATTTGTCTTTATGTTTTGGATCATTGTCTTGTTGAAAGATAAATCTCCGTCCCAGTCTCAGGTCTTTTGCAGACTCAAACAGGTTTTCTTCCAGAATGGTCCTGTATTTGGCTCCATCCATCTTCCCTGTCCCTGCTGACGAAAAGCAGGCCCAAACCATGATGCTGCCACCACCATGTTTGACAGTGGGGATGGTGTGTTCAGGGTGATGAGCTGTGTTGCTTTTACGCTAAACATATCGTTTTGTATTGTGGCCAAACAGTTTGATTTTGGTTTCATGTGACCAGAGCACCTTCTTCCACATGTTTGGTGTCTCCCAGGTGCTTGTGACAAACTTTAAACAACACTTTTTTATGAATATCTTTGAGAAATGGCTTTCTTCTTGTCACTCTTCCATAAAGGCCAGATTTGTGCAGTGTACGACTGATTGTTGTCCTATAGACACACTCTCCCACCTCTGCTGTAGATCTCTGCAGTTCATCCAGAGTGATCATGGGCCTCTTGGCTGCATCACTCATCAGTCTTCTCCTTGTTCCAGATGAAAGTTTAGAGGGACGGCCGGGTCTTGGTAGATTTGCAGTGGTCTGATACTCCTTCCATTTCAATATGATTGCTTGCACAGTGCTCCTTGGGATGTTTAAAGCTTGGGAAATCTTTTTGTATCCAAATCCGGCTTTAAACTTCTCCATAACAGTATCTCGGACCTGCCTGGTGTGTTCCTTGGTCTTCATGATGCTCTCTGTGCTTTGAACAGAACCCTGAGACTATCACAGAGCAGGTGCATTTATACGGAGACTTGATTACACACAGGTGGATTCTATTTATCATCATCAGTCATTTGGGACAACATTGGATCATTCATAGATCCTCACTGAACTTCTGGAGTGAGTTTGCTGCACTGAAAGTAAAGGGGCCAAATAATGTTGCACGCCCCACTTTTCAGTTTTTTATTTGTTAAAAAAAATTGACACATTCAATAAATTTCATTCCACTTCACGATTGTGTCCCACTTGCTGTTGATTCTTCACAAAAAATTAAAATTTTATATTTTTATGTTTGAAGCCTGAAATGTGGCAAAAGGTTGAAAAGTTCAAGGGGGCCAAATACTTTCGCAAGGCACTGTAACCATGTAATGTAAAATAAAAAAACTATTATAAATATGAATTCTCAGAAACCACAATGAAACGTAGATTAGAGGGTTAGGAACATTTTGGAAGTAGCTCTGCTGCTATCCTGTAAAAAAAAAAATCTTCTTTTTACAAACCTGAGCCCACTAAAGTGCTATCTACAACATGTTAGATATACTCAGCTCATAACCTCAGATTGCAAGTTTGCTTGTGGTCCCTAGAGTTACAAAAGCAAAATGGAAGGCAGAGATTTCAGTTATTAGGCTCCTCTCTCTCTTGTTGAACTTCCTGTTTCTGGCCATGACGCTGACACATTGTCTACTTTTAAGATTAGGCTTAAATCTTTCCTTTTGGATAAATCCTATAGTTAGGGTTTCCTGAGCTATCACTTGGTTATGCTGCTAAAGGCTTAGACTGCTGGAGGACAAACGGACCACATTTCTTCACTCTGCTGCTGTCTTTACTTGCTCTACCTGTTTCTATTTGTAATTATTTCTATTCTCAACGTGTTTTTTGTCTTTCCTCCAGTAGAAAGTACATCTGGACCTGCCATTCTCTGTTTGTTCGTCTCTCCTTCCCGTCCTTTCAAACCCCAGCCCGTTGAAGCAGATGGCCGCTCGTCCTGAGCCTGGTTCTGCTGGAGGTTTCTTCATGTTAAAATTGAGTTTTTCCTTTCCACTGTTGCCTTTGTGCTTGCTCAGGATGGGAGACTGCGACAAAGTGAAGATTCAACAAAGTCTGCTGGCTTCCTTTGATAGATAGCTTTTACAAATTGGCATTTTATATATATATGAATGGTTCTGTTCAGTGCCCTGAGACAAACTCTGTTGCGACTTGGAGCTATATAAATGAACTGAATTGAAACTTCCTGCAAAACCCCACTTCAGTTTTTTTTAAACTATTCCTTTAAACTTGATAGTTATTTCTCCACATTTGCTAGTCAGATTTCCACTTAAGTTACCTCCTCACCAGATTAAGCTCATCTATCCTGCACACTTTCATAAAGTGGTTTCACTACACCAGGCACAAAACACACGTGCAGGTCCAGACTAGTCCGTTGAGGAAAGCTCAGACATGCAACAAGTGTATCACACTGCAGAAATTACAAAAACAAAAAGAAAGAAAAAAAGACATTGAATGACAAATAAAAGGAGGAAGAGTGAGTGAGCAACAAACTATATTCAACATAGACCAGTGGCTATACATTAGAAGGCAACTGTGGGGCTAAATTCAACAGTACCTTTCCACCTTTAACATTATATGCATCATCACTAGAACAATAAATACCCAAGCTCATTTGGTTGTTGAGAAGTACTTCATTGTCCCAGGAAAATGTTCCTCTTTTCCCCCCAGGAGAGAATTCACTTTACATCAGAACTGTAAAACAACACTGTTGTACAACAACACTGATAGGCCATCTTTTTATTTCACCCCATGTTACAGGGCACACACATTGTTCAAGTATGCCCGAGGAACTCGATGGAGCAATGCATTAAAAACAGCTGAATAAGAAGAGATAAAAAGCATTTAAAAATAAGTGAACTGGCATTGCATTTCACAACATTTTATAAGCTCATGATTTTGGAACAATTCACTGTAAAGTGCTAACTGGTTCAAGCTAAGAAAAGCACGTTCCCTTTGAAAAAAAAAATAAAAATACAATACTTTATACATGGAGGTACAGTAATAGCCAGTCATTAGACGAGCAGTTACCAACCAGAAGACATGGACCCCATTTCTTTGTGTAGTTCTTTAATAAGATAACCGCTTCCTTAATTTCCTTGTTAATGGTAACAGTGAGATTCTTGCCACTGGTTGCCAGGACAATGCCAATTACAAATGCTGGTGTTGTTACTGTACAGTTTTCCTTCTTTCCTTGTAATTACATGCAACTGACTGACATACAGTATCAAAATCTCAAGTTGAGTCCTCTTACAAATAGAAATCCTTGAACCGTAGGGATGAGAGTTTGAGGAGAGGAGGAGAATTAGTGAGGAGCACAGGAGATGTTTCTATCCTCTTCCTCCTCTTCCTCTCCTCCCCCTGGATGTGCTGGGCTGGCCCGACAAAAGCAGGGGTCCAGCTGATGCCTGCCTTCCTACAGGTCCTGAGAATCCACTGCTTTTCTTTTTGCCTCTCATCAGAAGGAACGTTTAAAAAAAAAAAGAAGAAAACATTTGAAGGGGTCTGGGTCAATACATTCCCCACACTGTCTGACTAAAGTGGACAATCATCTTCCCACCCCAATCCTAACCATAAAAAGGTAAAAAAAAAAAACAAGGTGTACTGCAGAATGGCTTTACTCCTCACAGTCTGTGGGGGAAGCTGGAGCCCCTGGGAGCTGAGGTGCGATTGGTGGTTTTGCGGTTATTCTGTCATGTCTAATTCATCTTGGTGGCTGAAGGTTTCCGAGCGTGAGGCAGGTGTCTCCTCCCATGGTGGCCCCTCCCATGGTGGCCCCTGTCCCCTACGGGGCCCCTTCTGGCCTTTGCTAGTCACTTGCGAGAGTGCAGTGTGTCCTGAAACTTGGTGCTGGTGTAGCGGACATGAAAGCCTTTTTTGTTGATGGTGTCGTCTGAGTGGAACTTGATCACAATGGAGTCACCGGCTGAGTAGATCTCCTCTGGAGGCTGCCAGGAAGGACAAAAACAACAGGGTCACAGGCGGCTTTCTGCTCGTTGGCTTAAAAAAACAAGATTATGTCTGCTCAAAAACCAGCCTCTGCCTATTCTGTCTCAGCCAGAAGTCCAGTTTACTTTACGAGACTTTGAATTATTTCTATTTGCTAACTGCCCTTTCTATCCACCTGTGCGATGCTGCTGGAAATGTAATTTCCTTGAATTCAAAGCAATAATAACTCATAATGTTATTCACTGACTTTATATGTATGTGAATGTTTCTGTTCAGTGCCCTGAGACGACCTCTGTTGGGATTTGGCGCTTCATAAATAAACTGAATTGAATTTGAATTGAAGGCTTCGTCCCAAGGGATCAATACTAATCTAATTTAATCTAATCTAATCTAAAAGTCGGGGTTCGGTCTCACTTTTTACAGCATTTTTACTGCTCAACACTAAAGAGTAATAATAATGTTTTGTATCTCATAAACCACTGGACAGAAATGAACAAACACTCAAAGTAATCCATAAGTATATATCTCTAAAACTGAATAACCTTTGAAGTCAACCCATCTAATATGGCCGCCACAGCAAAGCCACCTTAGCAAACCTTCAAAATGATAATAACAACCAATTTTATAGATATTGAGCTTAAATAGGGTGCAGTGGTACCTGAGAGTCATTCCCAACATATTGTCCAGGTGCTACACACTGTGCAATGTCTATGCTTAAAACTTTGGCGTTAGCTGTCAATACCAAAACTTCGTCTGTTAGCAAAATATTTCATGAACCATTGGACAAAATTCAGCAAATCTCTCAAAACACTGAATACAGTAGTCCCTTGCTACTTCGCGGTTCGACTTTCGCAGACTCGCTCTTTTGTGTTTTTCAAAGTAAAATTGGATATGACACAATTGGCTGATTGATGGATGAGCCATGGATTGTTAATTTAAAATAAATTATTTTTAATGATTTAGCACCATGTGTGCAGCCCACAGGTGCAGGGAGAAGCTTCCTCCACTCTCTACCACACACACATTTCTCCTCTGGCTGAAGCAGCTTTGTTTAACCCTTTGCTGTCCAGATGCACCAATCGACTTTTGTCTTCCAACTTAAAATTCAAAGTATGTCACATCGTAAAAATCATCATAATCACAAAATATAAAAGTGTTATGTTATTTTTAATTATTTTAGAACTTCTATGTTCAATAGATACAGTGTAATTGATCAAGAAGTGCATTTCTGCTCCGTGCTGCATCTGCTGCGTGAAGGGTTAACGCTTTGATGTCCTGCTGCACTTCTCTTCTCTACAATTTAAATTTAAATACTGTCATATTTTAAATAAATAATCTGTTCATTTAAATTACAGTATTTAAATTGTTAATTTAAACAGAAGGAGGGAGATTTGGAGTGAAACTTGAACTTAAGACTACTGTATTCCTACTTTACGATTTTTCACTTATCATGGGGGGTGTGGTCCCCTAAACCCCATGATAAACGAGGGACTACTGTATAGTCATTAGTATTTGTAGTCGACCCAGTTCAAAATGGCAACTTGGAAATGTGGGCTGGTGTTGTGCCAAAAATCGATTGGCTGCCAAATGGCGGCCGCAGGAGTGTTTTGTTTGTGCGAATTTATAGCAAAGGTGTGTCTCAGTCTCTCTTTTGCTTAATAAATGCACTTTGAAGGTCAAATTATCTGCATTTCAAAAGCCAGTTCACAGAAGCGGGTAAGCACAGAGGGATGAATCGCTGTGCATTTCTTTGAAATTTAACAAGATAACCACCTAAAACAATTATTTGTTTGCTCAACATTATAGTAAAGTTGAGTCTCAGTTGAACTTTTACTTAATAAATGCACGTCAATGATCAAATTAGCTGTATTTCGCTGGGGCGATGCAGAGAAATGAAGCTGATTTGACGGTTGCTCCAGGCAGATGACGGTGGCAGAATATGGCAAGCCGATTGTGTCATTAATAGCCACTTTTACCTACTACGCGATACAACAGCATGCCATAATACTCGAGTGCCATCTAGCGGCTGAAAATGGTGATGTTTAACTTTTTCAGTCAGAATGAATAAAAACGATCATATCTCAGCCAAAAACTGGTTTATAAATATGGGAAAAAATACACAAATATGTTGCTTCGGCCTATAAGTTGCAGGGAATGCAAATTGTGCAAAAAAAACTGTAACCTATACTATAAAAAAATATGGTAATCTGTGTTAAGCTAACACAAAAATTAGCTTTAACTTGGTCAGTATTTACATATATGAGCTAGTTTTAATGTGGTAGCAGCTGAGAGTCATCCACAACACGATGTCTGAGTGCTAACACGTCCTACATGATCTCACGAGATCACAATGTCAGAAAAAAATCAAGATTGTACCAAAACGTCTCCAGCTCTGTTTTTTTCTCAGGATAAGACATTCTGAGTTTAAAGCCTTGTTATAAAAGGCGGCTGGCAGTATGCATCCTTTCAAGGATTTCCAAACCTTTAATTCTGCACAAGAGCCTTGCTCACATTGTAAAACTAAATAAATGATAAACGTGTCTAGCATGTTACATATCTCAACTCTGTCTGCAGCCAAACTGTTTTCAGCAGAACCATTAAAAAGTTACCCACAAAAACATTCAACTTGAACTTTCTCTTTGTCACAGTACAGCAAAATTAATTAAAACCACCACTTTGAAAAATAATTAATTGGTGGAGGTGCTCGTCAGGCTCTTTTGTGTCTGATATATATATTTATATATTGTAAAAAAAAAAAAAAAAAAAAAAAACGCTGCAACGGCAGAACGGCAGCAACTGACTGTAAAAGCAGCAGAGCGCTGATTAAAGCTGCCATTCAGCAGGAATAATATTCTATATCTACAATGGCCCATTACTCTTGGGAAAGGAATTTAAGACGAAAAGAAAGGAGACCCAGAAACTATTTGCTATATTACAGAGAAAAGGCCTGCGGCTAAAAGAAAAGCCTCCCCACACCATAATGAGTTCCCACTCCACTTTGGATTGAATGGTGTCACTTCATTTCAACTAGTTTTATAAAAAGAAACTTAATTCTGGTGCTGCTCTCAGGGGGAACGATGGTGTTATGTCCCCTCCAGCAGAGGATTCATAGGACGAGCGATGAGGAAGAAGTTGATTCTTATCAGTTAAGTGCGTAGATAAAGTCGAGCTCTTCTTCGACCTGAAGCAACTTGTCTTTATTTTCCCTGTCGGCTTAATTGCTCCAGACTCCAGCTGGAATATTTAAAATCTTGTGCCAGAATATGAAGATTTATCAACAGTTTCTATCTGTGTGTGTCAAACTACACCCAACATTGCTTCTTTTTTCTTAAATCTCAGGAACGTTAAACGATTAAGCTGCAGGATGGAGTTCACATAAAAGTCGAATATTAATCCTAAAGCCTGAATACGCACATTACACTGAAAATGAATCTAAATAATATTGATGAAAAGAAGCTTTTTGGTTTTGTTTACCCCTGAGCCACAGTAACGTCCAAGTCGTGGAGACTTCGTGTCGGCCCCGTCAAAAAGCTCCATGTAGTCGTAGCCACAGTCTGCCTCCTCTTCGATCTCAAAGGTCTGGAAGATGAGCTCCACCCCGTAGCCTTTCTCTGCTGAAATCACCCACTGACAGTCAGACGCTCCGGGATAGTTATTGTCCCCGAACTGGGCGTGGGAGAACAGGTCCTTGGTTTTGACTTCAGCCTTTAGTTGACCTCCACACTCTGGACAGAAACAAAACAAAGGTCAAGTTTGGCATAAAAAAAAGTACAACAAACTTTACCAAGAGGAGAAGTTAACTCTTACCAGCAGAATGCGAAGCCTCGAAGCCCTTTTTCTGTACAGAGTTGTCAGAGAAAAATCGAATGAACAGCTTGTTGCCGCTGGATATGATAGGCGGGGGTTTCTTGGAGCCACAGAAGCGACCCAAGGTGGACGCCTTTCCATCACGACCGTCGTAAATCTCTATGTGGTCATAAGCGCATTCAAGATGTGCCTCCATGTCGATCTCATTGAAGGCCTGACACAAAAAACAACACAAGGAGTGAGGACTGATCGTAAAGGCTTCATGGCTGGACAAGACAACTTGCATTGCTAATTTTAAATTTTAGGGTAGTTATTAGGGATGTACGATATTATCGGCATGTATCGGTATCGGACGATATTAGCATTAAATTTCAAAATCGGACAATCCATTAAAATAACTTGCCAATATAAAAGGCGCTGTTTTTGCCTCCAGCAGGAGTACAACGTAATGACGCTGCAGCGGCAGCACAATGTGATGACGTCACGTGTGCCTACCTGATCTCACGGCAGAGAGGAAAATTCAAAATGTCGACAGTGTGGAAGTTTTATCTTTTGTTGGTGAGGATGTCAGATTCTGAAGATTTATGGACTACGTTGAGCCTCGCTACATCGTCTACAGTCGGAGATATTTTTCCGACGTAACGTTTTCAGAGTTACAAGCCGTCATTTCCGACGTCACTGAGAAGCTGATATCCGATAGCACGACTTGTTGGGTGAGTTTTACCACAGACATTTGGACGTCGTGTTAGCCCCGTTAGCATCATTAGTCTTACGGCACAATGGATAGACAAAAACTTTGATCTTAAAAAGTCTGTCCTTCATGCACAAGAGTGCAGAGGATCCCACACTGCAGCTAGGAACCTGGAACAAGCCTCCACAAGTGAGACAGCATCGCAGGTGACTAATGCTAATAAACAACATTTAACTCTTTTCATTTAACACAAGTTAAAGTGCTATGCATATCATATGGCTGTTACTGAATACATGTCACCAGCTCTTACAGATGTTGCACAATTTTCGTAGCAAATAAGCCTAAATAAGAGGGCTATGTTCTGACAAAGGAACATATAAAAAATATCAGTATCGGTTATCGGCCAAATAAGTTTTAACATATTGGCATATTGGACATAGGCCAAAAATCCAATATCGTGCATCCATAGTAGTTATCATTTAGCACATATTTAATATGAATCTATTTGTAGCACAGTGAAGGAAAAATGCAGAGAGCGACAGAAGAGGGAGCCACACATCATCGATAGGAAAAGCATCACAGATTCTTCCACGGCACAGTAAACACAGATGTCCTTATCACACCTTCAAATCACACACAAATACTCGTGAGCGTCGAGAGCATTTATTCTGAGAGCAGCAGGAGGTGGAGGCACGTACGATTTTGATGCGGTGGCCCGGAGTGGTGGTGAGAGCCCAGCTGCATGCTTTCTTACTGGGGTATTTATCTGGCCAGTTAGGACTGGTAATGACACCGTTCACACTATTCACAGTATGGTCACAGCCCGCTATTGAAAAAAAAAAAAAAACATAGACAAAGCTCCAGTTTGGTTTTTGACACACATTAGCAGTAACAGGAGTAAAACTGTAACCACAGAGAGGAAACACAGTCTGTGCTGGAGTACCTTCTTTACAGTCGTGCTTATTTTCGTGCAGCACAAAACCACTCCGACACTGACAGCTGTAGCTCCCAAAGGTGTTGACACACTCGTGCTGACAGCCGCCATTCTCCTTCGAGCACTCGTCTTTGTCTGAAGGAGACAAAAAGAGACGACAGCACTTGAACGCTTCGAAGATTGGCAGTGACGGAGTAAAAAAAAAATTATAGGTATTTATAGTGAGAAGATTCACCTGAGAAGAACTGCGCTTTGAATCCCTTTTTGGACACAGTGTTGTCCGATTTGAACTCAATACGCATGTTGTTGTACTGGGAAGTGATCGCCTCTGGTTTCTCCGCTCCACAGAACTTCCCGTGCAGCCGTGAGTCGGCTGAGAGCCCGCTGCGCACCTCCACATAGTCGTACTTACACACCTGAGCAGAGATATTAAACACGGACGGGGCAGAGATGTTGGGTTTGGATTTAATAATGCTGCAACAGGACTGCAGAGAGATGCAGCGCTGTGACAGAGAGCCAACCAATCAGTACAAAAAAACTCTTCTCACATCATTGCCCTCAGTCTCAAAGACGTCGAAGAGCAGAGTGATGCGGTACTGCGTGGGGGCAACCAGCTGCCAGATGCAGTTCTTGTTTGGAGGGTACTCTCTGGGCCACCCAGGACTTGTGATGGAGCCGTTCAGTTTGGTGATGAAGCCTCCGCAGGCGGCTGGACCGAACACATAAAACAGAAGGAAACAAGACAGGAAGTTATGATATGAAGCATTAAACTGCCTCTGTCGGGCAAAAGAAGAAAGAAAATTAACTGTCTGGCCTTCCTGTACAGGTTATTCTTCAGCTGATCAGTTTTCAGCCGATAACTCTTTGAGAATCAACTTGTTGGTGCTAAAATACCAGCTTTTGTTAGGCAAACTACAGAACGTGGAACAAGTTGTATTTTTGTGCTCAAAAAGTGTGAAAATATAGCCAAATAATAAAAAAAATAAAAAGATATTCAGAAAGTCTAGAGAGCTATTGACTAAGACCACTGTAAAAGATTTCAAGAAAGTCTGGCTCCTTGGAAGCGACACATAAAAAAATCTTAGGGAAGACTTAAAACTTTTGCACAGCACCACATGCATGCACCAGAAGATGGAGTTACGTTTGACTTTCTCCGGGGGTAGATACGGTGCAGATTGTAAAGTAGCACTTAGGTTGCTAAAAAAACCAACCTATAATTTGAGCCAGAAATAAAGCTTGCGTTGTTCTGTCACAAATCTCTAAAAGACAGTCCCCAGCAGCACCGCCCGCTCAGCTGGCATCTTTTCAGGACGATTACGAAAGACTGTACGTTTTGTATTTGGGTGGCTAACTGTGTAAAGTGCTTTAGGATGTAAATGACATGGTGAGCAGCGCTGGTGACTGTCCTCCCTGTACTTACCCTCGCAGCTGCGCTTGTCAGCAGCCAACTCATAGCCCGGGTCACAAGCGCACTTGTAGCTGCCCAGCGTGTTTACACAGCGTTGCTCACAGCGACCGTTGTCCGGATTGGAGCACTCGTCCGTCTCTGAAAACACAGATATGTTAGAGACCTTTAGGCTGGCCCCTCTGGTTCAATGGCTCACAAGAGAAGCCCTCAAAGCCACAGTGGAGCCAGGCAAAGCCGGACTCACAGACCAAGGTACAAGCAGAACAAATATGAGATTCCTGGAAACATGTCAGCTTATACAGATGTTGACTTTGTTGTTTTTTACTAAAAGTTATCAGCCTTTAACCTCTCACCTTTGAAGAAATTGGCAGCGAAGCCTGCCTTATTGACAGAGCCATCTGAAACAAATTTCATCCACAGATGGTTGGAGCTGGTTTTAATGTCGTCCGGCTTGTCGTATCCGCAGAAGCGGCCCAGAAGAGGGCTGTTTTCAGAGAGCCCGTCGCGCACCTCCAAGTAGTCATACGCACAGCTGTCATGTCGCTCAATCTGAAGAGACCAAGGAGATGGTTTGGAATTGTAATAAACAAACCACAAACAGAAAACGAGTTTGATTTGGGAAAATAAAAATAAAAAAGACCTCAAAAGACTGGAATGTCAGTCCCACATGAAAGCCCTGACTGACAGAAACCTTCCATATGCACACTTTGTTGGGCCTGTAGTCATCGGGGTAGTTGGGGGACTGAATCTGGCCGTTGTCCTTCTTCACCTCACCACCACAGATGGCTGCATGCAAACGATAAAGAACAAAGCTGAGCTCCTTTGATAGCAGTATAATCAATAACGCGTGTCTGGAAAAAACGTGTCCTATGAGTTGATTCGCTGATTTATGCAAATGCCTGCACACATATGTACACATCGTTCCTTTTGAAGGATGTGAAAACAGCAGAGCTGACTGTGAAGAGAAGCCAAAATCTGATTCATGCAGCGGTAAGACCCTGACACATCAGCAGCGGAGGGGCCAAAAAATGTGTGTGTTGCTCCAGCTTCGGAGCACATTGTTGGATGTATGACTGGCAGGAAGTTCATTCAGCTGAGCAACATACAGGGAATGGGCGCTTACCCTCGTAAACAGCGGAGAAACCTTTCCCCACCCAGTTGCTGCTGCTGCGAAACTCGATCCACAGCCGGCTGTCGGTGGAGATGATCGGCTCAGGCAGCTTATCGCCGCAAAAACGACCTGGGTCACAGGTCAAAAACCAAAAAATGTAAATGCAGATTACATCACCATGACACCTGCAACAACTTAAATTCATCTACAGGCTCACAGAAATGAATTATGAGAAGATTAAACTGGAAGTGACAAGCTTTCTCAGTTATATACAAACTAGACAATAATTTAATGAGAATATTAGAAGCAGGTGATTTTATCAACTCTGCAACAAACAGAAGGATCTTCTAGTTTCTAATCATTTTAATGATTTGATAGTTTCTGTCCTGAATCTGTGTTCTGCAGCTAAAACTGACCTTTGAGAGGTGCCTTCCTCCAGTATCCATCTCTGATCTCAACATGGTCGTACCAACATAAATGACTCCTGTACAGATCCATGGAGGTGAAGTTCAAAATGATCTGCCAAACCAAGACAGTTTGATTACTGAGACAGCAAGGGTCAAAGGTCACACACTACTGATGCTCTCAGCCTGTGACATATTAATCAATACAAAATACATATCAATGTACATGAATGTGAATACAAAAAATAACTATTTTTGAACTTCAGCCTCATGAAACATTTTCTGTATTTATTTTTTTATTTTTTTCTGCCGCTCTCTTCTTCAGGGGTCACCACAGTGAACTAACTCGCACGAAGACTTGACAATTATTTTTACACTGGATGTCCTTCCTGACACAACCACAGAGCACCGAGCTACCACAGTCCTCTGTGTGGAGCAGAGAGCTGACATCTAAGGTGCCCAGAGGAGCAGATGGTGGGGGTTAAGGGCCTTGCTCAAGGGCCCAGAGCGAGGCAAATGAGGGTGGAGGCAGGTGTGGGTGCTTCACCTATCCCACCCACATTTTGACGTTGTCGGTACCGGGAGCTGAACCAGCGATCTTCCGATCACAGAGCCACCTTCTCAAACCTCTGCGCCACCACTCCTGCATTTATTTATAGGCCTCCCAAATTAATTCAAATTATTGGCAAAAGGTTCAAAACGTTTTCTATCACAGAAACAAATGTTCCTGTAAGATTCTCCACAGACACAACTTTTTTCAGAAATCCATCCATCCATCATCTTTACCCGCTTCTTCCTTTTCAGGTCACGGGGGTCACTGGTGCCCATGTCCAGCAATCACGTTGTGAGAGGCGGGGGACGCCCTGGACAGGTCCAAGTCCATCACATTTATCAGAAATCAAACTGATATATTAATAGTTGTATCTTCACCATCCTTTATATTCAAGATGTTTGTTCTGTGCAGTCTTAATGTTCATATCTTGCTCATAGCCAGAGCTTTTGAGCTGAAACTAAAATATTTTGTGATATTTTGATATTAAATAACCAGAATTTATGCAAGACCAGGTTTAAAACCCTGAAAGGTGTTATAGTTGATATGTCTAACACCACTACTGCTTTATCAGGAAACATATTTAGGAAATGTAATAGTTTGTTTTTTACTTTTACAAATGTTCCTATAAAATTTACAGTCAAATTAAAATAAAAAAGAAAGAGGCATCGACTACATTTAGTAAAAAATGGCCTTAAAATTCATTTGCTGGACAGAGGTTTAAGTTTGCAGGAAATTACATGATTTCATGTAAGAAACTCCATGAATAAATTATTGGAGCTGGTTGCATATCATTCACCACCTTTTAAACAAGAGTTTTAACCTAAGACCATCTTATTTTGAAAATTGATGGGACTTATAGACTTTGGGCTCAGCCATCTTGAATTGGGTTGAATTCAAAAGTAAACTAGTTGTAGAAGTACGTGCAATGATTACTCTTTGAGAGCTTCGTTAAAATCCACCTGGTGGTTAATCACATATTTTGCTAACAGACTTGACTCAATCAGTTCATGCTGAAGTTGTAAACAAAGCTCAAAGTGTTAAATAAATAAAGATCCTTGAATCTTTAAAACATGTCCAATCTCTTAACACTTGAGTATTCATTGGGTATATCAATTACTACCACACCAAGTTATCTGCAAAACTGTATAAAAGTTATAAAGCTACTTTAGGTATAAGCAGTCAGCGCTCCTTGTTTTCAGGAAGCTCAAACTTGATTTGGCGTTCCCTCCACGTGGTTGTACCTTTTCCCCGGGCGTGACTGAGATTCTCCAGATGCAGTGCATGTAGGCCGAGTATCCGTTTGGGAAGCCAGGAGAGGAGAAGTTCCCGTTGCTGTCCTGCAGACTGTCCCCGCATTCTGCACGTGAACACACACACACACATCTGAGCCATACATGACACTGCCAAACCTTTGTCCAGCTCGACAAACCCACAGCTCTGAAACAGCCTCATCCCTCATGACGCTGCAGGCTGGAGCTCTAACCCCGGACGTGAAGCAAAGGGCAGACCTTTAGTGTTTAAAACACACATCTGCTGATAATATTACCCACATCCCTGCGCCTCGCCTGCTCCCTCCCTCCCTCCACCTCCCACCCACTCCACCAGATGATTACACAAAGGAGCGGAGAGGGTCAGACGCCTTCTACGAGCATCCCCTGAAAATAAACCTGGCGCTCTATAAATAACGCAGCCTCCTGGAGAACGTGATGCATTATGTACGTGTTGCCAGCAGGGAAAAAATAGACAAATAAAGAAAAGAAGGCAGCTCTCCTAGTTTGACTGTAAAAACTTAGGCTTTCGAGTGTGCAAGGACTGGTTGTAAACAGGATTACACACCTTCACGGGGGGGCTCCTGCCAAGTTGGGGATAGATGTGTTTAATTAAGTCACAGAGGAAATAAAAAAGCATCTTCAGCTGTTCGTCTTGCATTCACAATTATCGCCGTGTTGTTTTTACCTTAGGAGTAAAGGAAATATCTTTTCAAGCCGTTTGTCTTCACTGCTCTGTGCGTGCATGTGTGCGTGCATGTACTGTATGTGTGAGAGCAGCAAAGAAGTGAGCACAGCTACCAGAAGTCTGCCAATCCTGAAGCAAAAACCACACCAGGGATGACAAACACTCTGAGGAATGCTGCACAAAGTGGAGATCTGTGACTTTAAGGTTTTTTTTTTCCCCCCTCCAACAACATGTGCCACATCATCCACTTTTCCTCGAGAGGCCGGCAAACGATGTAAAAGACAGGACGCTCGCACAGACAGACAGACCCACTGGCTGGAAAAACTTTATAGCTCACTGAGCGAGTCCACTTCTGGTGACCCCCACCAGTTCAAATGTGAAGCTCAGCTGCCGTGACTCATCGTCTTCAGTGCACGTGTTGTTTGTGCATATTCTGTTTACTTCAACACAAAATCTCCTCCCTTTTTGTCTTTGAAGGCCTATACTTACAGTACCCCCCCCCCAAAAAAAAAAAACAGCTTATGCAGAACAAACATGAATCGTTGTCTCCCAAGGATCCTTTAAACAGTTCTTATCAGAAGACAAATTGTTCTTTAGCATCTATCTGGGAAGGAGCGATGAAGACTCCCCCTCTTGGTGTTGTGTTTACACCCCTCCCTGTCTGAGAGACTACAACGCTGCAGCCAAGGCGGCAAACTCCTCAATAGTGGATGAGCACAGGAAGAGCAGACTTCTCTCTGAGGATTAGGCTGGAGGCACGTGCACATAATAAAAATAAAACAGAGCACACAGCAGACGGGGTCTGTCATTGTGGTCTTACTGGAGCATTTGTAGAGTTTGCGTGCCTGAGCAATATCCCCTTTGCTGAGTCTGGTTCTCTGGCCAATGGGTGGTCGCACTCCGTTCACGTCGTAACGTGGCAGGATGGTGTCCAGGAAGATGCCTCTGGTGTTCACAGAGAGAATGTTGTTAGTGTTGCATGAAAACCCAGAGGGCGTGCACACATCGTTCAAAGCATGCATGCACACAACAGAACCTGTTCGCTGGAGGATTAAATGATTTACAATCTGCAATTAAATCGTCGTTATTATGATCATGAATAACTGTTAAAGGATTTGCATTACAAACAACGTCCTCCTACACAACAGAAGCACGGAGAACGTTCTCATTTTAATTTAGGTTAGTATAAAAATACTTCTAAACATTAGTGTGTACTTTGTGACATGAGCATCAGATCTCTACAGAAACGTGTCACATAGTTTTAATTCCTTCTGTGGTTTAGAGGTGTGGGCAAATACATGAGACGATCAGAAATTATGTTTTCATGCAGAAAAAACACAAACAAACAAAAACTCAAGACTTGTTGTTTGTTAGTTTGAACTTTTACAAACTCCTTGAAGTTTTCAGATTGAGTCCGTTTGTTTTTGGGTTGCTCACATAATGTGACATAATGTGACCAGAAAAGTTGTAAACTCAGGTTTAGGCCAAAATCAGAAGTAGTTTAGAAAAATGTGTTTTAGTCCTGCAAAGATATAAAAGGATTATTAAAGGCACAGACACACAAACATTATTAAGTTTTTTGTGCTTTATTTGTTTATCTGTCTTTTCAATTTCATTGCAAAAGGAAAATGAAATAAAGTGACTTTTGCACTTTTTATTCTCTTGTTCTCTCGATAACCAGCGTGTCGTTTTATGGATCTGCACCAAGCAAGCAATGGAAAAAGAGAGGAAGTGAATAAACACTTCAACATGCACCTTTTTATGCACATACATAGCAAATGGTTTAAAGTTTTTAATCAGTATTTTTGCACGCGTTTGTTTTATTTGTAGATGTGGATTTGAAAGAGCTGCCTCTGTGTTTGTACGGTTAACATATATCTGATTGTTTTGAAAACGGCAGCAAAACGTTAACTACCGGTAAATCACCATAAAATGTCTAAGTACTCTATGTGTGCGGTTTTCAGGCTATAATAATCTTTTCAAGATAAGACCACATCTTTGAGTTAAAGAGCATGCACCCACGTGGACCAAAGGGTGATGAAACAAAAGTCTCTATGAAGTAAAGTGCTATATGTTGTCATCACGTTCCCATACAATGACAAAATTAGTTCTCTGGATTTAACCCATTGCACCTGAGATACACCCAGGTGGAGTGGTGGACAGCTATGTAAGCGCCCAGGGAGCAATTAGGGATTAGGTGTCTTGCTCAGAGACACCACAACATGTGGGAATGGCTGGGGATTGAGACTGGGACTTCTGGGTCCCGAGTCAGCTGCCCTGCCTCTACCCCATCCCGGCCCCTGTGAAATCTCTCTTCTAGAGATAACCTGTTGATGAAGCATTGTGGTAAACATGTTTTTTTACATGCGTAACTGTGATATTTCTTGTGTTATTTAAGTCTACGTGTGTTTTTTAAATTGATAAAAACAATTGGCCTGAGCTGGGTGTACTGATCACACTTTGTCCAAAGTGAAAACACTAAAATGGATCAGGTGTTGGAAATATTAAAATGACATAGAAGAGCAGAAAAGTTAGCACAAAAGGTTCCTCTTCCTCGTTTTGCCTTATTTGACACTTTGTTACTTTATCGTCTTCATTTTTCTAAGTATTGGTACGGAACTGGCTGGCTCCTTGGCCGTTTCCATGGTGACATGCCTACCACCGCCAGGCATGTGCAAACAGAGCAGCCTGAGCTAACAGTTTAGACTCTGCTGCTGCCTGTATGCTGGTTAAAAAAATGATGCCACTCAAACCAGTGTCAGAAGAGACAAAAGACACCCAGGCCGCTCTATATTTGAGTTGGCACTGGTCCACGCACCCATCTTTAAGAAATATCTCTAGAGCAAAGGATGGGGGCAAAGCAGGGCTGTGGGTCGAGTGAAACAACCCTGAAAAAACAAGACGCGTGAGATCAGCCGTGCTTGTCCCCAGGAGACACAGCAAAACATCAAGACGAGCCATGAAATTTTCCCAACAACAGCCGCGGCAAAGGCCCTGGCTTCCCACGGTGATTTACTGTAAAACACACAGCCAGCACAGTGACTACCAACAGGGCGACAAAGAATGACACTGTCACAGGTAAATCAGCTAAAAGAAGTGTCCTGAATGACCTGCGAAAAGCTAAAACAGTGTCAGCCATTTTATTTCTGAGAGGTCTTCTTGGTCAACACGGATCTGTGAGTGAGGATGGGATGGACAGGAACTCTCAACAGGACGGATTACCCCACAAAACAACAAAAAAAGATGGCGCTGCTCCATTGTGCAGCAAGCTGCACTGAAAACCTTAAAGATTAGGAGGTTAAATCCAGATCATGGAGCATGTGTGGCAACATTCAAGTGTGCTGAACTGATTAACTCAATATGAGGTCAAATGTTCCTTTAAAACCACCCAACAACAAAAAGATAGGTTGCAGATTATCTTAATCATACCAGATGTTGCTCGGTTTCTGTCTGGTCCTTCGTTAATCTGTATGCAATTAAAAAATAAATCAAATTTAAAGCAACATTTCACCTCTTTTCTTTGCGAGCTTCATTTTCAACCTGCAGTTTGGGCGCACGGAGCCAGACAGGAATTTCTGTATGTTGGCTTCCATCCAGCCTCAGCGTCTGTTTGGACAAAGATTCCCTCTCTGCTTCCCAGAAGCTGTTCGCCACAAGAGCACAGCAGCAGATCAGGGGGCTACGCTCAGAGGGTAAACCAGGAGACCCAGCCATGTGGAATATACATGCAGCTGACAGAGAGGACCAACAGCTGGCTCTTATATCAGACGGAGGAAGGAACGATCATTCTGGACAGATGTTTTTTTTAATTACATGTGCCCCAAGATGACATTTCTACTGTAAGGTAGAACCTGTAATGATGACGTGGCTGCTCATGCAGCTGCTAATGTTGAATAAAGCTGCAAATGGAAAACAGACTTCTGAGTCAGAAGTGAAACAAACACATGCAGCATTGTACTCAGCTGAAAAGTGGCTTTGTGAAAACTTCACTTCAATCAAGTGTTTAGGTGCAAAGATCACGTGTAGCACTTAAAGAATGGCTCAGATCTTTTGAAGTGGGGTTCTGAGGAAAGGTTACGAACAACAATATCTTACCTGCTGTAGATAGCGCTTTGAAATCTAACCATTTTTCAAGCTAGTCTGAGCAGAGCCAAGATAACGGATTCCTTATGTTTTTAAACAAATATGAAAGTGTTTCGTAAAAACAGTATTTCTTAAACTTTTTCATCTTCATACTTGCATTGCAGTTATTTATACTAAACACCTATACGGTAATCTGGAAGAGTACTCCCAGCAGCAGCTAGCTGTATCGCTTCTGATGCAGCGTGGGAAATTTATTGCAGAAATAACATAACATTCCTGTCAAAAGTTGCCAGTTAAAGCAACTTTTATAAGAGTGTACACTACACACTATATATATA